AAACGCGTTCGAAAGGTAGATTAAAACAGCAAAGTGAAGTCGAAACACAACAGCCAGCATATGTAGAAGTGAGAAATGGTGCCACCATCAAGGCACAACTTACGTTAGAAGCGCAAGATAACAACCTACAAAATAAACAACATAAGACTGATATACCAGAGCCAACGCTGCAGCCAAAACAAACGCAAAGAAATACTCATGCAGAGTGCGGCACCAACGCACTATCTGATACAGAGAGCGTTATAACTGCATCGAGCGCAGCATATGGCAGCACACGGCGTGGCGGTATGCCGCAGTATTTATTAACTACTCTTACTTAGCATATGTAACGTTTCAACTTTTTCGTAGTTGCCAAAAGTCAGGCCGCGGAGGACAAATTGATAGCTAAGCACCTGCAGCTGAAATGTCAAGTGTGCAAATTTGAAGCGAAATGCTTTAAAGTGCTAAGTGCGCACTATAAGCAGCTACATAATAGCAACGGTTATGTGGTGTGCTGTCAGAAGCGTCTTTATAAGCGCGGCATGTTATTAGATCACATAAATGTGCATCGCAATCCTGCATACTTTTCGTAAGTACCAAAAATGTAAATATAATTTGTGCGTAATTTAGCAGTTTTTTTTTAAAGCTGCATCAACTGCGCCATGAACTTCGCTGACCGTCTGTGCCTGCGCAATCATATGCTGCTGAAGCATCAGCAAGCGACAGAGCTGCCGCACGTCTGCGCAATATGCGGCGCGCGTTTTGCTAAAGTGCGGTTTCTGCAGCAACATGCGCGTAAACACATGAACAATGCGGCGCAGGACGCGGAACAGCAGCAGTGCGCGCTCTGCGCGAAGAGGTAAAATGTAACAATTCTTCATAGCGCGCACTTTAATATTAATAATTAACTTTGCAGCTTTGTGAATGCCGCGCGCCTGCAAGAGCATATGAAGCGTATACACGATAACAGCAAGTTATTTGTATGCAAACACTGCGGCCATGAGGTGAGCGGCAAGCAGTGTTATGTGCGTCATTTGGCGCAACACGGCGCGCAGCTTGAGTCCTCAAGCGCGCAGCGGCGCGGCGAAAGCGTACAGTGTACCGAGTGCGATAAATGGCTAGCGCACAAATCTAGCCTGCGTTTGCATATGCAGCGGCATACGGACAAAAATAGCGTATACGCCTGTCAGTTGTGTGGTACAAAAGAAGCGACGCGTGTGGCATTAAATGAGCACAAGCGTCTGTGCCATGGCATTGAGCAGCAGCAACATGTTTGCCAGGTGTGTGCGCGCAACTTTAACACAACGCGGCGTTTGCGGGTCAGTATACGATTACTTTTAAACTTTTTTTAATTTTTCAAATAAATTTTTATTTATATATGTATTTACATATATATATATTTTATTTTCAGGAGCACATGACAACCCATACCGGCGCACATCTCTACAGCTGCAACTACTGTGAGAAGCGTTTCAAATGCTCTTCCAATCTATACGCGCATCGCAAGTGGAAACATCCAACAGAGTGGGCGCAAGATCAGAGCGGCAAGGCGTTAGTTGATAAACAGTGATATTAAAAAATAATAATAATTTATAATTCTTGGCACTAATATCATATTTAAAGCTCATTGTAACATTACCCGAGTTTTATTTAAATTGCAAATACCAAAGTTTTCAAAAAAAAAAAAAAAATTAAAAAATAGATAAAAAATATATTAAATTCAAAATTGGTATAAATTCAAAATAAATAAATATGCATTAAAATTGGAAGCAATAAATTTAATTTTTTTTAAGACTTTACAATCAAAACTTTTTAAGCTAAATATATAATAATATTACGCTCAAAAGCTCTTAATTTTTTAGATTATTTGCAAATTTTGCACAGAAGCATTGTAACCAAAAGTTTAGTATTTTTATTTATGTTCTCCTTTTTCATCATTTATTGCATCTTTCTTTTGCTTTGTTACACTCTATTTTATTACTTTTAATTTAAAATAATAATTTTTAAATTTGAAATAATAATTTTTAAAATTAAAATAGTAATAATTATTTTTAAATTTAAAATAATAATTATTTTGCAATTAGTAAGTATTCATTGAATTTTATTTACAAAAGTAAATATTTGTTTTTATTTTTTCACTTCATTTATGCGTTTATATTTTCCTTTTCTATTTGTTTATATTGACTTAATTTTATATAGTTATTTTGATTTAATCAGAATGCCTACAATCGATAACACAATCGAATTTGTAATCAACTTTGCACAGCACTATGGCAACACCATTTATAGGCTCAACTCACACTGCTGTGTGGCGTACAGGACGTATAAGTAACTTCGCAGCATCCTAACGGCCAATGTGCTCAGCGCAAAATAATCACTTTTAGTTCTACGGTGGCCAACATTGCGTTCGCATGTATTTCTAACGGTACTGTCGAAACATTAAAAAATTCAAAGTTGGTTAGAAAGCTAAAACTAAAAATAAAACATAAAAAGAAACAACGCCGACCGGAAGTAAAGCCACAATTGTGTTAGCATCCGCGCGCAACAACAACAAAAAAATCAACACACTGCAATTTAACAGTATTTTTGTTTTTATGCTTTTGTGTTTTTTGAATTTTAACTACGCAAACCCGTCAAATGTAAACAGTGCCGCGGGCATTTAGTCTACGCTTGCTGTGGCTGCGCGTGTGTGTGTGATTTTGTATTGCACTGTGCTTGAGTGTTTTGATTGAAGTTGTGCGAGTTGTTGTGCTGCACTCTGTCTTATCAAGTGAGTGGTGCTTAACGGCGCGTGTTGTTGTTTGCTCACCTCAAACGTACACACACACATATATATGTACATACATGCGTATGCTCTATGCACATAGTATTTAGATTTATTTTACGATTTGAAATAAACATAAATGTTCTAGTGAGTGTTAATTTTATGAACAACAACAACTGTATATGAATAATATATGCGATCTGCTGCAAGAATACTGCAATTTACAAAATAATTGCAAGTAAGTAAATTTTGTGAGCAATTTAACAATAAATTTAAACAAGAAAAATAAAATTAAAATAAAAAAAATTAAAGAAATAATTATACCAAAATAAAAGCAGAAAAATTATAAAACTATAAGTATATTATATATAACTATATAAAAAAATTAAATAATAAAAAAAAATTAAATAGTTAAAAAAAAATTAAAGAAAAGTTTGTACATCTGGTAAGTTGTAATATTTAATAATTTAGTAAGAAAAAAATTTAGCATCACATTTTTCAGATAATTTTTTAGGGGCAGTAAACTTTTAAGCACTGTAAAAATACAAAAAAAAAAATAATTTATGAAAGTTTTTTTTTTAACTTTTTTTTAAATTAACCCAATTATTTTGAAATGAAAAATAAAACAAGTAAATTTAAATCTAAATCACATTTTTTTACTTAAATATGGACATACACATTTTTTAAAAAAGTATTTTTGAAAAGGTAAAACTAAATTTGAGGTAATTTTTTTTACTAAAATATCTATATATTGGTTTTTCCTAAAAAAATTATTAAATTGAAGTAAAATTGCTTTTTTTTTTTTTAAATTAAATAATAATTAATAAATTTTTTTTACTAAAATGTGTATATATTTGTTTTTCCAAAACATTATAGAATTAAAATTAAAATATTTGAAACAAGTAAATTTAACACTAAGTAAAATTTTGTTAACTATAATATACTACTTAACTTTTAGGCACTGTAAAAATACACCAAAAAAAATTATGAAAAGTTTTTAAATTTTTTTTGTTTAATCCAATTATTTTATTCAAACTAAAATTAAATAAAAAGTTACTTTAAATTTGAGTGAATTTTTTCACTAAAATATCTATATATTTGTTTTTCCTAAAAAATTATTAAATATAAATTAAAATGTACGAAAAAATTAAAATTAAATTTGAATAAAAATTTTCTTTAACTTAAAAAATTAAATAAAATTTTTAAATGTGTATATATTTGCTTTTCTTAAAAAAATTATTAAATTGAAATTAAAATTTTGAAAAAGCAAATTTAAAACTGAGTAACATTGGTTTACTATAATACATATTTTTTATTGCTATATACTTGTATTATTCAAATTGTTAAAACAAGTAAAAATTCTAACACAACTGCCTGTGAAGAATTTATTGTATATTAATAATAAACGAACTCTTAAATTTGAATTAATTTCTTATAAAAATAACACTGAAATTTGAATGCCAATTCTTTATGAAAATAAAAACTAATTTTTGTGATTAAAATTAATTTTTTTTAAATTTTCATCCAAATTTTAAATGAAGGCTAATTTTTTTTTAACCAAAATAAACTATTTAAATACATATTTTTTATTGCTATATATTATTTAGGAAAAACCAATATATAGATATTTTAGTAAAAAAAATTACCTCAATTTAGTTTTACCTTTTCAAAAATACTTTTTTAAAAAATGTGTATGTCCATATTTAAGTAAAAAAATGTGATTTAGATTTAAATTTACTTGTTTTATTTTTCATTTCAAAATAATTGGGTTAATTTAAAAAAAAGTTAAAAAAAAAACTTTCATAAATTATTTTTTTTTTTGTATTTTTACAGTGCTTAAAAGTTTACTGCCCCTAAAAAATTATCTGAAAAATGTGATGCTAAATTTTTTTCTTACTAAATTATTAAATATTTTTTTAGCAATATACAAATGGGATTTAATTCTTTAGTTAATTAAAACCAAATTTTCAAAGGATTTTGTTTTATAAATTCTTATGATTTGTATTTATTATTATTTCTATTTAAACCAAAAATAAAAATTTTTATTTCATATATCAAGACAAAATAAATTGCGTTTTAATTTTAAAGAGTATAAAATCAAATTATTTACAGAAATAAAACTTCCAAGTTTGAATAAATTATCTTTAAAAATAATTTTAATATTTTTGTTAAAAAAATTTAATATATGTTAATAAAAAATGTAATATTATTTAATAAAAAATATTGCTAATATAAATTTTAAAGAATAATTGAATTTCAAATTATATTTTAACTAAAACTTTGCATGACTTTATTTGAAACGAAATAAAAATTGTATCTCTGAACAGTTACTCATACGCCATGTTGTCCGTTTGCTGAAATCACTTCAATATTATGAAAATTCGTTTTATTTTAATCAACTTCAATCACATGCTATTTATTCTTCAGAAAATTTAAAACCAAATTTTTTAAGACAATTATTTATACATTAATTTATTATTATATTTATCATTTCAACGAAAAAAAATTTCATTTATATGTATACATATCTGAAAAAAATAAATTCAAATTTTAAATAGCATAAAATCAAATTATTTAAAGAAATAAATATAAAAAATTTTTTTTTCTCACAAAATATTTTTAATATTATATACATACATATGTATCTAATTAAACCCTATCACAATATATATTAATAACAATAATTTCATTTAAATTTCAAATAATAAAAAAATTTTATGAATTTAATTTAATTTATTTATTTTTAAACTAAAATTTTGTTTGAATTTATTTTAATCGAAATAAAAATTGTATCTCTGAAAAGTTACTCATACGCCATGATGTTCATTTGTTCGAATCACTGCATAATACCATAATGAAAAGTCGTTTAATTTTCATCAGTAACGCAGGTGTGCTAGTAACCAGTTGAGAAATTGCACGCAAACCGACGGAAGTGTAAAATCTTTCAATTTTAGTGGATTTGGAACAGCTTGAAGGTTTATAACTAAATCACTTATTTTTATAGGTACGAAAAATAGCTTTGACCTCATAGTTTCGTGTATGAATCTCTAACATTGTATTTGTAGAGATTACAACCGAAATGTTGGAAAATAAGCTTTTTCTAATATCATGTTGTCGAAAGTTGTTCACAGCTCAATTAATAAAAAATATTGAGACTCACCAGACGAATGGCTGGAAAAGTTGAGACCAACAGCTTTTTGAGTGTAAACGTCATGTTATATGGTATATGCATTTTATACCCTAAACAGGTTAGATTAAGTTTTTCACGAAGCTTGTAACACCCAGAATGAAATGTCGGAGACCCCTAAAGTATAAATGATCGGCTGAGTCGATTTAGCAATGTCCGTCTGTACACCATGATATGAGAGTTAGGCCCTCAGTTTTTGAGATATCGCACTGAAATTTTGCACACATCTTTTTCTCCTCAAGAAGCTCCTCATTTGTAGGAATCGCCGATATCAGACCACTATAGCATATAGCTGCCATACAAACTGTACGATCGGAATCAAGCGTTTGTATGGAAAACTTTTTTATTTGACGAGATATCTTCATGAAATTTGGCATGGCTAATTGTTTAAAGCATCGTTACAATCTCCGAAGAAGTTGCTCAGATCGTACCACTATAGCATATAGCTGCCATACAAACTGAACGTACAAAATCAATTTTTTGTATTTAAACTTTTTCATTTGTGAAGGGTATTCTAGCTACGCGGCAACCGCAGGTAACTTTTTTTCTTGTTTAAATTAAAATACACTTCAGATAGATTTTATTTTCTGCATTCTCTACAAAACTAACCAGCAGCTGCTTTAGTTTGACATTCCGCATTTGCTTTTAGTAATCAATTTGCGCCTTCGCATTTCCTTGTAGCATTTTTCAATTTGCGTTGCCGCTTGCAGCTTAAACGGCCTACGCAATTAGCGCAGCCGGCAACTTTTATAGCATTTAAATCCGCAATTTAAAATAGTAAACCTGCGCTGACCTAAAAACTCTACTCTATTCTATTTTATGCGCAAATATATTTATGTGGAGCTATAAAGTTATATATATATATATATATATATATATAGATAGTGTATATAATGTTTGTATGTGCAAAATGTGCGTAGTTCATAGTCTGCATATATGTATGTATGTGTAGCCCCTAAAATGGGCTCACTTATTGCCGCATATAGCACAGCGCTTATGGCTAAATGTATGTAATCTAACGGGATATTTCCAATTCCAGCATGTAACTAAATATTCAGTAGACACGCTTACAGTTTTACGCTTGAAATTAAAATTGAAATTTAAACTGCATTGGCATTTTGTAGCGAATTTTCAATATTGCCTCAAGCGTTGAAGAGTTTGTGAATTTAATTGACTGTGTTTATTTTTTTCTGGTTTCAGATTTCGGTTTTTTGCTGAGCTTTGATTTTTTCCACAGCCTGTTATGTTTTTCGGCGTGCGTGGTGTTAAATTAATAATGCAAAAGTTAAACGGTAAATAGTTGAAGTGTGACAGTTTGATGATGACAAGATAAATTGAACCAATCAGTAGAGTAATCAGTTGTACTATCGGTTAATTAATTAGTAATAATATTTTAACATAGGTATTTAATAAACTCGCATGTAGAGGAATTTAGAGACGAAAGTGCGCTATTGTTGCTTGTGAGTCGGTTCAATATAAGGTTAAACAGTAAATAGACATTGTATGAAACCGTTAGAAATTAAAATGATAAAAGTTAAGGGGAATAAGAATTTTCTAGATTGTTTGAAAAATCTTCACCAAAAAATCTTTTCCATTACATCTGTATTATCTTAAGGTTTTATATAAGTTTCGCGGCTTCAAAAAAAAAACCAAAAATAATTGTCTTATTTAATTCCATAACATATCTAGAATATTGTCTTAAATTATCAAGTTGATCCTGCCGGTAATACCGACGTAATGGCCGAGTTTTGCAAATTTCCCTTTAAAACTTTCACAAAATCTTTATAAAGTCAATGTCTATAACCTGCGCAGAGTTCACCACAAAGTTTGTTACACCCTAGAAGGTTGTGCACACATAGCAATATCGGTTCAGAATACAATCAAAGTACAATACTTGGCTGGGAGCTGCTACCCCACGCGCCGTATTAACCAGACTTGGCATCTTCCGATTAACATTTGTTTTCACCGATGGCACACGCATTGGCTGAGCCACACTTCGATTTCTACGCAGCAGTCGAAAATTGGGTGTCTAATTGGTTTGCTTCAAAAGA